ATAAATTTTGCTGATTACTATTTAAAAACCAATATAGAATTCCATTCTGACAACTGTCAGAAATATAATCCAGATTCGGAAAACATGGAACAAGATTTTTAATGATAATATCACAAAGAAAGTAAATTCCAAAATTGTCTATTGTGCTCATCTGCAATCTGTATGTAAATCAAGAAACCATCACTTGAATTAAAGAAAGGGACAGTGAGTGGTATAAAATCAGAAAAGACATACATTAGGATTGCATCCTTCCACCATCCTTAATTCAATCGATATTTGGAACATATAATCTATGACTCTTTGTGATGACAAACTTGGTAGCAGGATTGGAAGAAAATTCACCAACAACCAGCATTATGCACATGACACAACATTGTTTATTGAAAATGAAGATAACTTTAATGACTTACTGTGGCATTTAGTATAAATTACAAGTTAACATACAGAAAATAAAACTCCCTAACTTAACCAACAGATTATATCATGATGAATGGAGAAAAGATTGAAGTTGTCAAGGATTTAATTTTACTTGGATTCACAATAGATGCAATAATTAGAAAGTAAAATTGCATGTAACATTGGATAAATCTTAAAAGAAACTTCAAAGTGTAAAACACAAGATATCCGTTTTAAGAATGAAAACAATAAATAGTGGGTCCTTAAAATAATTATTTTTTTTTAATTACGGTGTTAGGGAAATGTATTAATAATTCCATACATTTTCAGGAGATTAAACAAATCTTTCTTTGACGTACAGTGATAATATGCTTTAGAAGTGAGGATGACAACACTTATAGTCATGTATTTTAGACATATTATTATGAGAAACCAGTCTTCAGAAGAAGGCATTATTCTTGTTAAAGCACAGTGAGAAAATGTTGAATATCTACAGTAGGATAAATTAAAACACTTGTTGCAACAATTGACTCAAATTATAGGAACAATTGAGAGGATGAATCAAGACTGGACAGTGTTTCATTCTTTTGTCCATACAGTCAATAGGAATGACAACAAAGCATATAACAACAGTCACAAAACATCAAATGCTTATTAAATATTTTTATCTTGAAGAAAAAATATGAAACAAATGTCTTTCTGTCTTTCATACATTTATATAAACTAAAGGAATAATTTACTACTTGACATTTTTATTAAAGAGTATGTCTATAAATCTGAGTCTGAAAAATGACTTCTTGATATTTTACTTGACATCACTGTCAATTTTTTACTTTAGCATTATTAATTTGAGGGGTTTTAGTACAATCATCCTTTCAACATGTATTACTTTCCTATTGTTAGGTGTTATCATGTTGACCTTGATCATGACTTACAGAAAACTTATGTAAAACAGGTTGGAACATTGTCTTGTCTTTCTGCTTCCTGAAAAGTGACTGTTGTAGTCACTATGCCATTCCATTATGTTGAAGGTCTTTCTCTCATTCATAACTACACATGTATATACATATGTGTGTGTATATATATATATATATATATATATGTGCGTGTGTATATATACATATACATACATACACACATGTATGTGTGTGTGTATGTTATTGTTGTTGTTAGATGCCTTTTCCAAGGACTGGCATCTCTTTATATGTTCAAAGTATACAAGTTGAAATTTAACCATTCTTGCTTCTAAGGTGCTCCTTGGTTGCATTTCCTCCAAGAGTGACTTATGTTTGGTCTTTTGTCAGGCCAGGGGTTTATTCCATACTGTTCGCAGCATCATAATCAAAGGTATTATGTCTTCTCCAGTCTTCCTTATTCATTGTGCAACTTTCATCTACATATGAAGTAATTGAAAATATCATAGTTTAAATAAGATATACCTTAATCTTGAAATTGACACTTTTTCCTCATTAGTACTTTAAGGATATCCTTGATAATAGATTTGGCAACTACACTATGCTGCTCCCACGGATGCTGATTTAATTTTACTTCATCCAAGCCATTGCATTTGACTCTACCTTGAGGAGACAGCTCTTCTTGGTCACAATTTGAAGGCCTTCTAATTCGAGAACTTCATCTTCTGGCATTAATATGAGTAATGGTTTGCTACTGTTCATAGAATTTTAGACATTTGCTATTTCAGAAGTGCATGGTGAGTCCTGTTTCTTAGTCTGACTTAGTCTGGAAAGTTTATTGCACCTTCACCATGAATGAGCTGCCAGTGTTTGGGGCCCTATAGCTTCTACCATCACAGCAGCATGCAAGCCTCCACAGCATAAAAAACTGACAGAAAAAAGGTGGAATTTCATGATCATTACCAAAAAAGATGACCCAAGAAAATGTGGAATTTTCAAACAATGTAATTAATACCATATGCAAGCAAATTCTGGCTGAAAATAATTTAAAAATGGATGAAACAGTACATTGACAGAAAACTGCAACTAAATCAAAATGGATTCAAGAGAGATCATAAAAGAGGTGATATCATTACCAGTGTTAAATATAGACTATAACAGAGAATAATTGATATTAACTTTTTTATTGTCAAACCTCGAATTGCTACAATCAAGGATGCTTTAGGCAGAATGTTAAATGATCCAGGAGGTATCAAAAGAAGATGGAAGGAATATACTGAGTCATTGTATCGAAAGGAATTGGCAGATACAGAAGAATATAATGAAATAGCATTTGAGCCAGAGCCTATGGTGATGAAGACAGAAGTTCAAGCTGCTTTGAAGAAAATAGCAAAAAATAAGGCCCCCGGAATAGATGGTATACCAACTGACATATTTCAGCTAACAGATGTTGCTGTGGATGTGCTCACGAAGTTGTGCCAAGAAATCTGGAGAACAACCACTTGGCCAACTGACTGGAAGAGATCTATATTTGTTCCCATCCCAAAGAAGGGCGACCCAACTGAGTGTGGAAACTACAGAACAATATCATTGATTTCACATGCAAGCAAGATTCTACTGAAGATTATCCAAAAATGACTGGAACAGTACATCAGCAGAGAACTGCCAGAAGTCCAGGTTGGGTTTAGAAGGGGTCGTGGTACTAGGGATATTGTTGTTGATGTTAGATGGATCTTGGCTGAAAGCAGAGAATACCAGAAGAATGTCTATCTGTGTTTCATTGATTATGCAAAGGCATTTGACTGTGTGGATCATAACAAACTATAGCTGACTCTGAGAAGAATGGGAATCCCAGAACACTTGATTGTTCTAATGCGAAACTTATACTTGGACCAGGAGGCAGTCGTCAGAACAGAGCAAGGGAACACTGCATGGTTCAAAATTGGGAAGGGCGTACGCCAGGGATGCATCCTATCTCCATACCTTTTCAACCTATAAGCAGAGCAGATTATCCAAAAGGCACAACAAACAACACGATATCAATCCGCCACAGGAAGGAGGAACGCCCTAAAGCACTGAGGGACAGGAACTGAACCACTGAGGCAAGTGCCTTTCCAGGAAGGGGCGGGGTGGACTAGATAGCGCTCATCCTGCTGTGAAGGAGGCACAAGTGTAATGAAAGTTGGGATTGCTCATGCAAAAGCCAAGACCCGTTGGGGATGGCCTCCCACACAGGGCGGATGCTTCCAACATGCCATTTTAAAAACTTGGTAGAACATAGATTGTGAACTCTACTTCCAAGGTTTCTAGTCAGGTCTTATATTTGGCTTGAGCATTTGCATTTTTAAGTAATTCTCAGACCCTGAAGCCCATAAACTGCTAACCCCTATAAACCAACTAAGAACTGAAGTCTATAATGCAGCACCATAAGTGAGCTATATTCAGTGAACACACTGTTCATTGACTATCCCCTGTCACCTGAAACTGTTTCTGCCTCCAGGACTTTAAAAACCAGTTTCTTTGGCTTTGAGTTGTTGGAAACCTTCCTTTGTCCCATTAATCTCTATTCCCATAAACTTGTGGTTTAGCCATAGTAGTTTTATCCATCACGTCTTTTTTTTTTTTTTTGAGAATGAACATATTTATTTGTTTCAAAGTAGAATTTAAAAATGCTATGATCGATAGGTAACATGTCTCTGAAAATTGATTCCCGAAATATCATTAACAGTTCTGCAGTAAGCTCTTGATTTTTTCATATTCTTTTTTTTTCTTATAGAATGTTTCCTTCTCTTTTTTTAAATATTTTACCTTATTTATTTTTCATTTCAATGAACATCTACAGAGATTTTGGAATTCCATTCATTTATTGTTGCACACTTCTCCCTGCCCACCCCACCTCACCCCTCGCCCCTCCGTTTGCTCCACTCCTTGAAAAGCAAAAGAAAAACTCCCTCATTGGTACACAATCCCCCCCGCACCTCCCCCAATCCCAACCCCTATCCATCACTTCTTACAGCAAATGACCTTCCTTGAAGACAAGGGTATCTGTTTCCTTCTTTTTGAAAGACTTGTCATATGTTGTAGTTATTGTTAGGTGCCATCCTACTGACTATACTTCACAGTGTTCTTGCAAACAACAGAGAAAAAATGTGTCTTATCCAGCACCATCTTCAACAGTATCTGCCATGCTCAAGCTCTTCTTTACAGTCATGGCATGTAGTAAGGGCTAATTTAAGTAAAAGGAACTTCTGGCAAAGGCATTCATGAATGTTTCAAGATGGATCTCTGACTTAGGACGTTTTAGAGCAATATTCACCCAAAACGGAATTAAATTTTTTTTTTGCAAAAGAATTAGGGAGTCATTTTAATATTTACAAGAACAAATCAGCAGAACAAGATTATATCAGATAGCTGTGTACAGTAGCTGCGGCTTATAAAACATAGCAGTAATTGTACCTGGTGAATATAAAGAAAACCAAGGTAAGACTTAGATAAATTTACAACCAAGGGAGTACACAGGGGCATCAACAAATTGGAGGACACAATAAAATTCACATTTTCTACATTTAATACATAAATTAAAAATTTAAAAAATTACAGATCTCACAATGTCTTTGAGGAAAAAGAAAAATTCGAAGTCCTCTGAATGGTGGGAAAGAAGAAATCTGAAAGAGAACACTAAAAACAGTTTTACTTCACAAGACCAATTTTCTTAGCTTCTGTTTCATATATCAATAATCTCCACAATTTGACTGTAAAAACTTCTGCTTCTTCATCCAGTACGAAGGTTACATCATCTAAAATGCTCTGAGGTGAACTATGAGCCATAACCTTAGAACAAACAAAATTAACCAATGCCGCTTCTTCTTCACCTATGTATTCTATCATTTTCTTATTAATCCATGGTCTAATTCGGCGTTCCATCAATATTGAATCCACAATGGACCAATCAAGGGGATAGGCAAAGAGCTCAGGTTTGGCCGTGGGAATTTTCTCAATGAGGCTTTTAATGTGCCTGCGCTTTTCTTTTGTGTTCACTGTGCCTCTGGCAGCATTTTTATCATCTTCACCATAGTCCAAAGAAACCAGTTTTCTTTTTCGGGGTACATCGTCACTGTCTTCATCCTCAAATTTGTTAAAGACACTATCTATAGGTAGCCTCTTTCTCTTCACAGAATTAGGTTGGCCAGGACTATTGGAAGCACCCAGTTTAAGTCCTATTTTTGGCCTATGTTCTTCAGGCTGTTGTTGATCAGGTGAGTTTTCATGAGGAATAATAATACCGCAGGGAGAATCATCCGCAGGTGTGTTGGGGATTGCATTGCCACTGGCAGAGGAAACGGATGGAGCAGAGCTGATGGGTCTCAGAGTGGGTTTCAGACAAGGCTTCTGCTCTGGTTCCTCTTCCTCTTCTACCGGCTCTTCTCGTTTTTCTTCTTTTTCTTCCTCCTCTTCCTCTGATTCTGGTTCTTGCTTTATTTGTGGTTGTCTACGTCTCTCAGCCTCTTGCTCCATCCTTTGGAGCTCTGCATTTGGGTCTGGGTGTCCTTCTGCCAGATGCTGCCTAATTTCCTCCAGTTCTTTCTTTTCTCTCTTCCTGTCAAGTTCATCTGCTTCCATTTCCTTTTCCCTATCACGCAATCTTTTCTGAAGAGCACTTCCCCTGTAATACTTGGGATCATCTCTATCATCATCATAATCTTCTAAGAATCCTTTCAAAAGCTTAGCTTCTTTTGCCATCTCTCGCCTTCTTTCTTTTTCTCGCTCAGCTTCTTTTTCATATTCCCGGGTTTTGATTCGTTCACGGATTTCCCAGTGCTTAAGCCGCTCTTGATAAGCAGCTTCCTTCTCTCGGAGTTTTCTTTCCAGCTTTCTCCTTTCATACGCATCTTCTTCCTCCTCTCGGTCACGTTTCTTGTCCTTCTCTCGCGCACGCTCCCGTTCCCTCTCGCGCTCTCTCTCACGCTCTCGCTCTCTTTTCCATTCTCGCTCTCGCTCTCTTTCTCGCTCTCGCTCCCGTTCACTGTCTCGGCTCTTCTCTCTTGATCGACTCTGATCCTTATTCCGATCAGAGCTCCATTTTCGGTCTCGATCACGTTCTCGCTTCTGTTCCTTCTCTTTTTCTCGTTCACGTTCTCGCCTTTCTCGGTCCCTTTCACGCTCCCTCTCTCTTTCTCTCCGTTCTTTCTCAATTTCCTGTCTTTCTTTCTCCTTTTTGTCTTTCTCTTCTGTCAGTTTCTTGTGTGTGTCTCTGAATTTGCTGATCTCTCGGGATATTAGATCTCTTTTGTCCTCTTCCATTTCTATATCATTTATATCCTCCTCAGTGGTGAGTGGATAAGGAATCAATTGAGCCACTTCTTTCTTTTCTTGCGTTTTCTTCCTAGGAGAAGCATCAGACTCCTGTGAAGGGGCATTGAGTTCACTGGAGAATTTGCGTATTAATACTTCAAAGGCCATTTTAGTCAGTTGATCTTTTCTTTTTGTTTCTTCATCTAAAGGTTCTTCATCATCAGTAGTGACGGTCTCTGGTCTGGCATTCCCATTTGAGGCTTTCTTCTTTGCTTTCCATTCATCAAGTTGTGCCTTTGTCTTTGCATCAACTTTAACGAGGAGCTTCTTCTCTCCAATCTGCAGGTCATGTAATAACCTGAGTGCACGGAGGGTAGATTCAGGCTCCTTATACTCACAGAATCCAAACGCTTGAGGTTTTCCAGAAGCACCCTTTACCCTCTCCCAGCTTGAAACCAGACCACATTTAGCTAGGAGCTGTCTTATAAGCTTGTCTGAAGCTTTCTCGGAAATGTTTCCAACAAAAACTGTAGTAGCGGGACCACATATGGCTCCCAAATAATTTCTAACCATGGATTCTGTGGGCACTAAGACAGCTGGGGCAGGAACCATCATGCTCATTGGTACAGGAGTCATTGGAGTTCCTGGTGGTACAGGTGGAGGAAAATCAGGAAACTGTGAGGTTGGAATCCCTGGTAGAAGTGCTGGGACTCCCACAGGAGGACGATTCAAATGAGGGGGGAAAGACATTCTTCCTGCAGTGTTCCAATGGAGGTTCCCAGGCTCCAGGTTTCCACAAGCGTTCAGAAGCGAGAACTCATTTTCTCCCATAGGAGGACGATCCAGATGAGGGGGGAAAGACATTCTTACTCCAGAGTTCCAATGGAGGTTCCACGTTCAGAAGTGTGAACTCACAGGCTGCAGAGGAAACAGTACTGTCTTTGCAGCCTTCTAGGCTACAGATGTGTGGTTTTCACCCGTCAGAGGTGTTTAAATGCAGTGAGACCGGAAGTCCTTTCCTTGCGTGGCATGCACTGCGAGCCGAGGGCGGAGTAGAATACCATAGAGAAGACGCATATAGATAGTCCTCATGATTGGCTTTTCATCTACATACAGAGCCAGGATAACCATAGAGAAGCTCGTCTTGGGGCCTAGAAAGGCCCGAACTATAAATGAGGACCCACCCTACCGTATTTTATTGGAGTTGATTAAATCTTGTGACCACTTGACGCAAGGACCCACCCTACCGTATTTAATTAGAGTTGATTGAATCTTGTGACCACGGTTATGGGAGGACCCACCCTACAGTATTTTATTGGAGTTGATTGAATCTTGTGACCACCCAACGCCATCTTGAGGTCAAGGTTCTGACTGGGAAAGGGTTGACTTCTGTTAAAGGATTTCTGTCTGTTGTTTCTGTTTCAGAAATTAGAAGCCAATTTGATGTGTTCATTGGAGCGATTGACTGGGACCAGCACCTTCTTAGAAAAACTCTTAGTACTAATCTTCCTCTTGTAAGAAAAGTTGATTTCAAGAAATCGCTGGCAACAATTATAGTTATAAAATGTCTATGAATGATTGGATGAAAAGACCAATTATTTCTAAACTTTAACTCAAATTTCAAAAAAAATCGCTGACAGCCTATAAAACAACAGGGTTGATTCTGTGAAAATGCAAAAAACCCCGCTCCTACCCTAGAGTAATGAAAAGAATAATCTCAAGAGATTATCCAAGTGGCCCAGTCATGAGAATCTTTTGTCTTCTTCATAGTGAGCTTCAATTCATATTGAAGACTACAGTCCTTGACCTGCAGCAAGTGCTTCAGGTCCTTCTCAGTTTCAACTAGCGAGGTTGTGTTGCCTGCATGATGTAGGTTGTTGATTAGGAATTACATTTTTATCAGTAGTAGTTCTTGGATTGTTATGTTGTTTTTTTTAACTCCACATGTCTCTAATGCTGCAAAGCTTTACATTTGTCAATCAATAATGCAGGCTATGCCTCTTTTGTGACTTTTATTCTACTGTGTCCCTTGCCTTGACTGCATTTTTAAGTTTCTTGCTCATATATAAGGGCTTCTGTATTATAAAACAGGGCACATATTAGAAGCCCTGTTGCAAAAGATTGGTGGTTTGAGTCCACTAGCCACTCTTTGGAAGAAATATGGGCAGTGTCCTCTTATGAAGATTTTAAAACTGAGAAACCCAGTAGGAACTTCCATGGATCAGAAACTGACTGAACATCAGTGAGTTTGGTTTTCTAATATGGTAAAAAGTTGTTGTTGTTGTTGCTGTTGCTGTAATGTGCCGTCGAATCGCTTGCAACTCATAGCAAACCTATGTACAACAGTCCTAAACCCTGCTCTATGCTGTGCCAATCGCACTGCCTCTGACACACACATCCCGATTACCCCAGTCACTGAATCAATCCATCCCATAGAGGATCTTCCCCTCCTATGCCATCCCTCCACCCTCCCAAGCATGATGTCCCTCTCCAAGGACCTTACATGTCCAAAGTATGTCAGACGAAGCCCCAGAATCCTTGCCTCCAAGGAGCAGCCTGGTTTAAACCTCTCTACGATCAATCTGTTTGTTTTCTTCGCAGTCCAGGGTACATTCAATACTCTTCTCCAGCACCACAGCTCAGTGGAGTTAAAAAAAACAACATAACAATCCAAGAACTACTTTTGCTCTGACATTCTAATTAACCCTTTGATCTTATCTGTTCATGGAATTATAGAATTCATTCAGTTATTTATTTACTGAAATGCTTGTTGAACAAATACAACATATTAGGTTAACCAAGGAGAATCTCAAAGTTGTGAGAGGACAAGAGTTTATTTATTTTAAACTTTTTCTGACTTGAATTCTCATAAAACATAACTGTTCAGTTAATTGCCCAGCAACTACCTGGGTCCCTCTATTAACAGAAACCTCACTACCTCATGAGTAGGTCAATCTTTGAACCACTGAAGACTTACACTGAAATGAAATCTTCCTCCCTGCAATTTGTTATTGACTTCATTTGAACTCTCACAGCAATTTTGTTGTTACTGTTGTTGAACTCCTTTGATCCCTAACTGACCCATAGCTGACCTTCCAGTGGGTTTTCAAAGGTAGTAAATTGCATGGGAGGGGATTGCTCATCTTTCTCCAGTGGAGCAGCTGGTGGAATTGAACCACGTGTCTTTGTGTTGGCAGCATAAATTCTTACCAGAACGTCCTTCTGCAGGAATAGAGGATTTTCATTTCACTTCCACATGGTAGCCCACCAGATAGTGACAACAGGTCTGGCTCATTAGATTAGAGAATATACATGACCCGCTTTGAATCTCATTTTCTTTCCTTGCAGCCCCTGATGGAAAAGAACCATTTACCTTTTGGTTAGCAGCTGAGCACTTAATCAATGTGCCAGCAGAATTTTATGTCTTTTGAAATGCTCCCTTTCCCATTCTTCTAGGGGCCCTAATCATTTGGAAACATACTTGATCAGGGAGGGACCTATAACTAAGAGTTAGAGAGAAGAACCAGGATTCAAGTATAGTTCTGCAGGCTGTGCTGTGGACCCTGTCATCTCCACATATCCCATTGTAACATAGGAAATTCTCAGGAATCAAGCTGTTGCTGGCTTCTGTAGTTAGGGCAAAGCTATGGAATGAGAGGCAAGCCCTCCAGCACTGGGTGGGGAAAATGTACAGATTATAAGCTTATTTATTCATCACTGTGATAGCCTTACTCCCTCTGATCTTAGTGCCCAAGGCTCTAAGGTTTCTCACAAAGAGTAAAATAAAGACCTGAAATAACTCAGTGGGCCAAGCCTGTAGCATTTCAAAAGCTGAGAAGGTGAGAAAGTTAGCATCAAAGGACTGCAACATATTGCACATTACTTATTCAATACTTCCAAATACAAATAGATTCATATTACAAATATTCTTACTGTTGTTGTGTGTCATTGAGTTGGAACCGAACCATAGGTGACCCTTCAGAGCATTTTAAAATGCAGTTAATCACATGGGAGGAGATTGCCCATCCTTCTCCCACTGGTGGATTTGAATAACGTGCCTTCGGGATTGCAGCTTATCTTGCCATTAGGCCACCATAGCTCCCTAATAGCCTTACTTTTACTGAATATTTATGTAAGAGCAACAACTAATCAGCATAGAAAGTCATTAGCAGTAGTTACTAGTGGACTAGCAGGAGCAGTAATAGCTCATATATGTTGAACACTTTCTGAGCCAAACTCTGCTTGGTATTCTGTGTTCTTTCTCTCACTATTGTCATTGTGTACAATTGAGTCAGACCTGATTCATAGCTGACCCTCCAAAGGGTTTTCAAGGGCAGTAAATCGCACGGAAGTTAATTGCCCATCTTTCTTTTGTGGAGAAGCTGGCAGATTCAAAGTTTGGGTTGATGACATTACTCTTTATCACAGGGCCCCCACAGCTCTCTTACTAGTCCTCCGAATTATGCTGAGCTTAGTGACTATGACTATTCTCATTTCCTAGATCATACATGTTATGTGGTTTGTTTGGCAGTTAGTGCATGTATGACTAAAAAAAGGGAGAGGGGTGGAGAAGTCATGCTTATGATCTTTTCTTCCAGATGTGGATCAGCGGGTCCTCCTCCTGAGAGGTACCCTGGGTGAACTGATACCCAATTTGACTCTCTCCTAAGAATTTGTGTTTGCCCCCAAGTATACAAAATCATATTGAATATTTAATGGATTAGCAATAGGACAAATAAGTCTATCTTTGAGGAAGAGCTTCTTAGAGGCAATGATGGCTAACTTTTGCCTCACATACTTTGGGTATGTTGTCAGGACAGACCAGTCCTTATAAACAGGCCTTCTTCTGGGAAAGGGAGAGGGGCAGCATAAGAGAGGAAGACCTTCCACAAGATGGGTGATGATGACGGCAACAATAAGCTCGAGCACCTCATAGGTGGTGAGGATGATGGATGAGGACAAGGTGCCAATCTGTTGTCCACAGGGTCGCTGTGACTTATAGTCTACTCAAGATCACCTAACAGCAGCAATAACAACAACACTGAAGCAAAGTCTATATTTTCACAAGAACCCTAAGTAATTCTTTCATATAGTCCTGGGGATGTAGTTGTAATGTAGAGCCTGATGCAGTCTATCTGGGGTGAAAATGTAATTTCTCATCACAGAGGTCAAACTGGAGTGAGGTGATTTGAATGAAGTCTCCTGATGCAAGTCTCCAACCTGTTAATGTGCTTACATGTCTTGTCATGTATATTTTCATTGTAATTGATTTTCAAAAAACTGAGAATAGTTGAACATTTAGCTATTTGTATCACCCAGGGACCCGAGTATCTAGTAGAATAGAGGTTAAAGGCAAGGCCATTTGATTCTCTTTGCAGCACCAATTCTCTCTTGCCAATATTTCTACACATTTTCCAGTTTTCTCTGACTAGATATCTGGAAGTAACCTTCTACCTTACCTTAGACACATGAGAAAGAAAGGAAGAGAAGGAAGCCAGGGACATCTGGCCAGGCTGTGCACAATGTGAACCTTCTATTACAAAGGGATACAACCATCACCCCTTCAGACTCCCAGGGGGCTTCCAGAAGCTCCTTTAAGAAAGGACTTGGCTACCTCAGAAAGCTAGTCAGCCAAATGTTAGTAAACACAACTCCTCATACACTGAAGCAGTAGATTTTGAGAAAATATAGACATGTATAAATTATTTAATTTTCACAACTAAACTCTGAGTGAAGTACGATCCTCATTT